AGGCTCCCTGCTCGGCAGGGAGCCTGCTTCTCCCTCTCCCTCCGTCTGCCGCTCCCCCTGCTTGTGCTCTCTCTCTCTCTGACAAATAAATAAAAAACCTTAAAAAAAAAAGTTAAAAAAAAAAAAACTTTCTCAGATTTATAGTAATAGGAAGAGCCACACTAATTTTCCTAAAGGACGTAAAAGAAAAACCAAGTACATGGTAACAAATACATACGTTCCTTAAGAGAAGCCTCATTGTTATAAGTGTTATTTCTTCCCAAGTAAATGCACAGATTACATGTACATCCAGTAAAAATAATGACCTTTTTTTTTTCTGGGAGAATTCAACAAAATAAACTCCTCTGGGAGGACACATGGCTGAGGAAAGAATGTATAGAGAATCAGAACATTTCTGTATCACAAACCAGAATATATCTCAAAACTATAGCAATTAAAACAGTACATGCTTACTCAGGAATGGATAAACATATCAGTGGAATGGAGAGCAGATTGAGATAGGTTTGGAAGTTTAATATGAAATTATGAAAGTGGTATTTCACATCACCAGGGGAGAGCCAGGTAATTTAATACATCATGTCAACTTGCTATTCATATATAAAAAATAAACATCTCTAAATTAACAACTGGTCAGAACAGACATATAAGCGTCTACCCATTGCTTTACAACTTGGGTGTCAGTATTTTAAAATTTTCAATAAAGTACATATTTTATGCTTACAAGTTTTTATATCAGCTTACACAATGAGAAGAAGCAGTGCTAGGAAAATGGTTGGTGAGTCCTTGTGTGTGTCACACTTTCCTGCCTACACCTCCCTTCTCCTTGTTCACACTTCTGTCTCTGTCTCTGGCATGGAATGAAGTGGGGTTCCCGGAAGAGCCTTCTGGCAGTGAACAACATCACCTCCGTGGTGATCCTCAGCGAGCAGGCCATGTCCTCACACTTCCACCAGCAAGTGGCCGTGGTGCAGATGTCCCCAAGCTTACTCAGCGTGTCCTTCCTGTCCACGGGGGTGACGCACAGCTTGCGCACAGACATGCATGTCAGCGGGGTGTTCGCCACCAAGGTGACTACAAGGGTGGCCTGGGGTTGACAAAAGACCTGGCCAGTGGTTTGGGTCATTCAGGGTGGTAAGGGGTGCAAGTGGCAGGTTCCTTTTTAATTTCCATGATTCTTTTTAGGATGCCATTGCTGTCTGGAATGGAAAACAGGTGCTGGTCTTTGAGCCTTCTGGAACCATGTTACGGAATGCAGGTGGGAGTCTTGTCCCTTAGGAGGGGGCTCACAACACCCTGCTTTATCTTCTGACCATCTAAGGGGGGTGTTGGTGCCTGTGGTGTGGGCAGGGGGCTGGCACAGGGCCACCGGGAGCCCCTTATGTCAATCATGCCTGTGCTCTGGCCCTGTGCCGCTGGGCATCACCCTACTGAGGCTGGTCAAGGTGGCTGAGAAGCCCAGGACAATGAAACAGCCAGAAAATAAGGCTAAAGGAGTATAAACCACCACAGTGCTTGCCAGGGAAGGGGGTTGCTACACACCCAGCTTCTGAACTTGTTCCAGACCAGGCAGAGCAGTGAGCCCCATGGCATCTTGACCAAGGCCAGCCTCTGTCTGGAAATTTGAGGACATATCGTCAGAGGTGCTCCGTCAGCCTCCACCTCCTGTCCTAGTGAGCCACCATGACCTTCACTCTTCAGCACATGCCTGTGGGAGTGGCCGGGGGCTGCTGGATCAGTGACCACAAACCAGACAGACATTTACTGCCTCACAGCTCTAGAGGTCAGAAGTCCAAACTCACGTTGCCTGGGCCAAATCAAGGCATCAACAGGCCACTCCACCTCCTGAGCTTTGGGAAGTCTGTTCCTCGCTTCTATCAGTGTTGGGTGGCTGCTGGCCATCCTTGGCGGGGTTGCATTGTTCCAGCATCTACCTCCATTGTCACCTTGTTCCTGTCTGAAATCTACCTCCCTCTTATAGGGGCACTTATGGTTGCATTTAGAGCCCACCTGAATAATCCAGGATAATCTCCCCATTTCAAGACCTTCCCAACTTTGGCCATATACTAGCATTCACAGGTTCCAGGGACCAGAACCTGATAGCTCCAGGGGTCACGTGCAGCCTACTCTAACAGCCCCCTTGGCCAGCAGTCCTTCTGTATAGTTCTTCCATTCACCCATGCTGACCCCACAGGACCGGTCATTGTGTGCTCCAGGGGGCTACCCCCGTGGGTTTGTCAGAGAAGCTCTCGCCTCCCTGGGGGTGTTTCTTTACTGGTGGTCACCCCTCTCCCCTCCCTCCTTTTCTCCTCTAACACGTCATTGCCTAAACTTTTCTTGTCACACTTTTCCTGCTCTGCCTTATATTATGCCTATAATTAATGTCATCTCCTCCAGTGTGGACCCCCCAGGCCAAGGATGAACTTCTTATCCCCTCCGTAGGACAGCACAGCAGGTGCTGAAGTGTTTCCTATTGTGTGTGATCATCTCTGGCTAGATAAGAACCCGTCTAGAGACAGAGACTAAGGCTTGTGGCCTCTAGAGCCCCCTCTAAGAGGAACAGACACCCGTCTAAACACTTGTGCTGCCCCAGACCACAGATGCAGCGCCGCCGTGGCCCCGCTGCTAGTCACACGGGAGAGGTGGCGGCTCGTGAGTGAGGCGGGGAGCCTGGGGCCACGTCCCTACACCAGTCCCAGGCCTGCACACTGTCCCTGCGCCTCAGGGCCTCGCTCTCTTCATCTACAGGATGCCAGAAAACACAGCCCTCATGACGCTGTCTGAGCATTATGAAGAGATGGGCTGCTGCCGCATTACGTCCCTCTCTCATCCTAGGAACCTTCCTTTGTGAATCTCCGGTGTTAGCCATGCATGAGGAAAACGTGTACACTGTGGAGCCAAACCGAGTTCAAGTTCGAACGTGGCAGGTAAATCACTGCTCTGGAGCGAGTGGGCTTGGAGATGAAAGCCACTAGAACAGTTTGAAAGGCAGTCTCTAAATCGAGCCAGAGCCACTTACTGACTTCAGCAGCCAGATCACAGTCCCCCCGCCAGGTGCTTGCTCGTCACACTGGATTCTGGGCTATCTGGTGCACTGACTGCCGGCACCTGTGAGATCGGGAGGCGGACCAGGGCCTCATGCAGTGATGAGGACTGGATCGCTGGACCCTGAGCACTCAGGTTAGGAAAGGGGAGGCCATGTTTGCTGGAGTTAATGTCCATCTTCACTGCCCATCAGTTCAGGACAGGCCTTTCCCTGCATGTGTCTGAGGGTGAGTCCGGGACGGGAGCAGCATGGGCCTTGCAGGTGACAAGCTCGAACACAGCCTCGTTCCCCCTGGTGGCAAGGAGTAGGAGGCCCCTACCTGCCAGCATCCCTGATGCCTGCAGGAACCGGGGGGCTGATGGGGTGTGATAGTTTCCTGAGCCTGCCATAATAAAGTACCACAGATGCGGTGGCTTAAAGCAATAGAACTTTAATTTCTCGCAGTTTAGGAGATAAAAAGTCTGAAATCCAGGTATGGGCAGGGTTGGCTCCTTCTGAGGTTCTGAGGGAGCATCAATCCCATGCTTTCCAGCCTCTGGTGGCTCCGGGATGCCTTGGCTTGTAGATGCATCACTCCATCTCCACCTCTGTCCTAACCTGGCCTTCTCCTCGTGTCTGGTTCTTGTTTTCTGTATCATAAGGACACTTGTCTTTGGATTTAGGGCCACCCTAATTTGGAATGGTCTCCCCTTGAGATCCTTAATTACATCTGCCAAGACCTCTTTTCCAAATAAGGTCACATTTACAACTTCCAGGTAGATGTATCTTTTGGGGGCCACCACTCAACCCAGTACATGCAGCAGTGCTCTGTGTAAAGGTCGGGAAAACCTTCACGGCCCTGGTTTCAGCTCTTAGTGTGACTGCTTTGTCTGTCTCCAAGTTGTTTGCTAGGATCCACTGTTCGGTTTCTGGAGCCTGCCGTACGCATGCATGGTGTCCTTGTACCTCACGTGCTCCTCATCCTCCCTGCCAAAGTTCCTGAAGCAGCTTCCGTGGAGTTCTTCCTGATGGGGCTCACAGTGGGTGGGAAGTGCCACTGGGGGAGGTCCTGGAGTAGAGGCTTGATGTGGGGAACGGCCTCCTGGGAGAAGGTGTGAGGGGGGCCGGCGGGGGGGGGCGGTAGGCTGCTGGCCCCTTGAGGTCCTCAGCCTATTTGAGGTGGGAGGGGAGCTGGAGGGAAGGAGGCCAGAGCCCGCTGCTGCCGACACTTGTCGGGGACATCTGCTGCAGACATACAGCCCAGGCCGGGAGGGCCATGTTAACGACCCATGAAGGGCACAGCTCTGTGAGCAAGGCAACCTGCAGGTCCTGCTGAAGGGCCGTGGGGCAAACAACCTGTGGGGAAAGGGCTAGTAACCTTAAATATAAAACTGCCAGTTATTTTACCAGCAAAAATGGGTTTATCCGGGAATAGGAGAGAATTGCAGTCTGGGACAAGCATCTACAGCAGAACCACAGCAAGTCTGCAGGATCCCAGACAGGAGGCGCTTCTGTGGGGGCGGATAGGCTGTTGTAAACAGAACGTCCATTGGAGTAAGCTGGGAGCTGCAAGTGTGGTGGCTGCTCATTGGCTGGGCTGTTGCTGGGGGAGGAGGAACCCTTCCTTCCTCCTGCTGGGATAGCGCAGGTGACCCTTGAACAACTTGGAGGCTAGGGATGCTGACCCCCCATGCGATCAAAAATCCACATATAACTGGACTCCCCAGAAATCTGGAGAGTGGGATCTTTACCAATAGCACAGGTGGTCAACATGTATTGTGTATGTCATATGTATTCTGTACTGGATTCTGACAATAAAGCAAACCAGAGGAAAGAAAGTAAAATCACAGGGAAGAGAAAACACCTTTATAGTACTGTATCCAAAAAAAAAAAAAAAAATCTGCGTATAAGTGTGTAAATGGACAGTGCAGCTCAACCCCTGTTGTTCCAGAGCCAGCTATATTGTCCACTTGCATGGTGGGTCTCTGCCTGTTGGGTCAGCGACCCACCGGCATGGTGGTGCCGAGCGCGCCCCCTGCTGGCCTCCTGGCTCCATTTTCTAAATGAGGTTTCCTTAAGTTTCACATTTCCTCTTCTTGATCAAGATCTTTATTTAAAAGCATCACTGATCAAATCACATTTTCCATATTTAGTGGTGGTGTTCCTCAGTGCCAGGAAGGACTTTTCCATGTTGTCATGTCCTACTTTGGTGGCGAAGTGCATTGCTTGATGCAAACCATGTAGGGCCCATTTGAGTAACAACGAAGATCAGGAGAGAGAAAAATCTCAGGTACTCCAGCATAAAACTTGTATCTTTCCGACGTTATAAGAGTTAGAGAGCGTCTCCTTATTGGGTACATCATTTTTAAAAAGTTTGAAGAGGTAACAAAATACAAACCTTAAAATAATGATACAAAACAGTAAGTAACATGATAATGCCAAATTGTATGATGGACCAGAACCAGGTGTGAAAGTAGCCAACTGAAATATTTATTGGCACTTATTCTGACGTAGGCGAGAAAGGGTCTCCCTGTGAAAGCAAGCCCAGAGTCGTGTACGCCTCCTAAAATCTCCACTTAAAGCAACCATGAGAGCAGAATGGTGGAGACTTCAAGAGCACACTGAAAGAACTAACTTAGTGCATTTGCAAAGAACCAGTGCAAATATTAAAAGGAAGCAATAGATGGTGAACTCTTTGCAAAACAGCAAAACTTCAAAGATGTCTTAAAACAGTATTGTTATTTCAAGGGAACTGTGTGGAACCAGATGCATTCTCAATACAGCATATAAAGTTGTGAATTCAGACCACATGAATTTGGATAGTAATTCAGATGAAAGAAAGACTTTTGGACATAGGAGTCATCTTAAATTTTATTCCCATTGGAGCTAAGGAAACCTTGTTGATTCTTTAACATCCCCAAACCATGGGCTACCCCAAAGGCCTACTGATCGTCAGTATAAATATTTGCAGCTTTACCCTGGCTGAGGTACAGGCTCCAGCATGGGCATGCAGCAGCCTTTTGGGCGGAGGTCACTGGCACTTCACACATCGAAGCCTGGATGACTTCACGGGGAGTTGCGATAGCAGACCCAGCACAATGTTTACCATTTTTTTCCTTTAAATACGAACCATCAGTAAACCATGAAAATGAGCAGTGGGGTGTCCTGTAAATGGTCCTGGGGAGTCCAAGGGTGATCTAGCAGCGTTCAGCAGTCATGAGGAGTTTCATCCGCATCTGGATGTCGTCCTTGTTCTGAGATAAGATGCCCAAAGCATCGGACCTGAGTTTGAGCAAACTGCAAATTTTCTTTGAAGACTTTGTCTCTTTAAGAGCAAAAGTCTTAACAGGTGGATATTGTCTCCTGTGAAGAGGTTTGAGCAGCGGGAGCAGAACAAATCATCTACATGTTGTCACAACCTAGAGTCTGCAAAAAGCTTTGTATCATCCAAATCGGCTTTTAAGGTTTGTGAAAAGAAGGATGCTCGGAGAAACACTGGGGCACTCCTGGCTATCCTTATCAACTGGAATACTAAAAATGCACTGTAGAGGTCCACTGTGGCGAAAGTTTTGCATGGAATGAATGCTGGTAGCGTGGGAGGTTGGGAACATCGGGTGCTGAGGGGCAACAGTGTTAGTTACTGCTCACAGGTCCTCAACAGACCTCCGTTCCCAGCCACTGGTTGTTCTCACAGGTAAAATGGGGATGCTACAGGGTCTAGTGCAGGGGATAATGAGGCCCTGAACCTTGTAATCTATTATGTAATCTTGAAGGCCATCTGTATTTAGAGGGTTTTGTTCTGGGGAGAGGTTTTGAGGGATCTGTTTTAATCTTGATGGGTGTGCACTGTGGGATCTGCCAGCATCATTTGAGGACTTTGCTTATAAAGAGGACAGAAGCTCATCCAATAGGGACAAATAACCAAGCAAGCCCGGAAAACCAAGGAGGAGAGTGGCAAGTTGGGAGGGCTGTTGTAAACTGAAAGTCCACTGGAGTAAACCGGGCGTTCTAAGTTGGGGGCTTCTCATTGGCTGGGCTCTTGCGGGGTAGGAGGAAAGCTTCCTGCTTCCTTCTTCTTCCTCCATCTGCAAAGGGCCTCTCTTCCTGTTGGTTCTGTAATTGACCAGGAGTGGTAGGGCTGAGAGCGCCCCCTGCCGGCTGTGGTAGTTCATTTAAATGAGGTTTCTTTTCGTTAATTTTCACAGGAATGTCAACATGCTGAGAAAGCAGGAAAGACATACTAGGAAAGGAAGAACAGACTGCTAGGAAAGGGTGAAGGGCATACTGGGAAGGGGAGAATGGCCTGCTGGGAAACATGGCGACTGAGGGTCCTGGGTGGCTGGCCTTGAGGGTCTCTGACAACAGATGGCCTGGAGTTAAGTCTTCTTGTTAATATTTTAACTAAAAGGAATATGGGTCCCTGATAACTAGTAATATAATGCCAGCATGTGTATGGCAACGTACAATAACTTGGGATTTGGAAGCCTGGACTGCGTTTCCAGACCCTTCTCCCCAGCAGGGAGCTCTTGAGGACGTAGACACACAAGCTTCGCTTGTTGTTGCTCCTTGGAGACGACACTAGACGGCTGCTGTGCCCCTTCCAGCTCTCTAACTGGACTTCTCTCCACACGGGAAGGGGGAGCTCATCCCCGTGCTTTATTCCGTTGGGGCAGGAGGGACGGGCACCCTGTTGGGGGCTCGTTTACAGGGCCAGAGCTCAGGAAGGGGCTGGTGTCTGACGCTGGTGGAGGCAGAAACAGTGGGAAATGAGGCAGGAGGGCCTGCTGACTGGACTGAAGGCCCTTACCTCAGAGACAGTGGGGGTCTTGAAGTCTGGTGTGATGGTGACAAGCATTCTGGCTTGTTTCTTGGTTTTGTGTTATTTTCTCCAAGAAGATTACTTTTGTGTCTGTGTAGTGGGAGAGCCTGGGGGAGCTGGCCAACAGTGAGGTCAGGTAGGAGGGCCACCAGTAAGGTCTGGAGACCTGGAGCCCCAGCTGCCCAGCTGAGGCCAGAGCAGAGGGGAGGAAGAGGCCATGGTTGGGGGGTGGTGAGCAGGTGAATGGCAGGTAGTTACAGAGGGAATCTTCTAAGTTCCCAGAGCTGGTTCCAGCGTGGTGGGGGGTGAGGCTCCTCAGATACCACAGGGTGCCCAGAATTCCCCTCAGTTGTGACACCGTCCACCCAGAGAGCGCGTCAGCCCCACAAGTGAGGGGCTCAGCCCCACCCGATCGCCGCCACCCCCACCCCAGAGGCCAGTCCCCAGTCCTGTGCTTCTGACCACAGGCTGCACAGTGGAGGGTCCGTCCTCCTTGGGCTCTTCCAGTCAGCTGGAGTGGATCACATTGCTCAGGGAAGAATCAACAGCCAGATGAGGAGATGCACAGGGCGAGGTCTGGGGAAGGCACAGAGTCCTCTCTAGGCGCCATTCCCCACAACACCTCCAGGTGGTCAGCTACCTGGAAGCTCTCTGAACCCAGTCCTT